CTTCAGATTTTATTGTTCAGAACGTAAGTAATCGCAAGTTCAAGATATAGTCTGCTGATAACATCTTTCACTGTAGTCGAACAAGGTTGCTGATATAATTGTCGATCCTGTAACTTCTGCTATATACCACCTTGAAGCTAGACCATCGGAAGGTGGTCGTGTGGTAGTTGTGAAGACCGAAGAGGGCAAAGATCTATTCGGCCCTGGTTGGAACGCTCGTTCTGGCGTTCACGAGGTGAACAGATGTCGTCTGCTGCTAATGCCTCCGTTACAACTTACAAATTTCATCATAGTACGGCGGAGGAGCTGCAAGAGCTTACGATGGAGTTGTGTACTTCTCCAACTTTGCAGATGGCCGGGTTTACTCGGTGAAGGGAATCCAAGAACCAGAACCGATTACACAGGGTAGGTAACACTATCTTTGAGCACTGGGTAAATAGCACCGATTCAAGTGGTCAAAGAAGGGTAAAAAATCCAGTATCGTATGTCGTTTGGGGAATAGTGGCACGGTTCACTTTTCTCCTGATCTATACGGGTTATTGGGTCGAGGAATGTATTGAACGATTCCTCTGGTACAATTATTGTCCGAATCAGTGACTACGCATCTTATATCTCCTATCTGTGAGATGTCGAATGATTGTGACCCACCGAAATTGTCATGGTGTTTTCTGACGGAAAACGGCTGATATCGGAGTTTTTTGCCATATCTTTGTGTCTTTCTTTTTGGAGGAAATCTCGCTCGATTTGCTGTCATATTCGCAATGTTCTCTGTTTATATTTAACGTTTTCGTTTCGTTTCGCAGAAAGCAAAGTCCACAGATTCGCCGATTTTGCAATTTACCCCCAAGACCCTCGTTTCATCGTCGCCATATTTGAAGATCATAGCAAGGCAACGAAACCTGACGATCCTCCCTCTAATGTCATCAATTCTCTGTGTCTGATCGACTCGCAGACCAAATCAACACACGTCCTCGTTTCTGGAGCGGATTTCTATTCAGCACCAAAATTCTCTCCGGACGGTTCGCATCTAGTCTGGCAGCAATGGACACTACCCGATATGCCATGGACAGGCGGGGAGCTATATATTTCTAAAGTCTCGTTCGATCAATCAGGAGGGGATCATGCACTTACAGTTGGGAAAGCAACTCACATAGCCGGAAAACATGCAAAGATTAGTGCTGGATATCCGATATGGGCATCGAACAATGTTCTAATCTACACTTCCGACGAGTCAGGATTCCATATTCCTTACAAGCACGACTTGTCGACTGGGACATCAACTCCTCTTGTCAATTCCCCCCAACCTCTGCGAGAAGATTTTAGTTGGCCTGCTTGGGAGATCGGGTTCTCTAACGTTGCTATCACCTCTGCAACTACATCCACTGACAAGGACGGAGATCTGGCAGGGAAATTTGCACTTTACGCTCCAATCAAAAACGGTCAAAGTCATCTCTCCCTGATAAGTTTACATTCGGGGGCATTAGAAGAAATCAAGTCTCCCTTTGTCGTCATTACATCCCTTCGGAAAGTCACCAACAATTCCGTTACCTTCGTAGGTTCCAAAGTGGACGAAGATCCTCAAATTGTTATATGCTCCTTGAAGGACTACGCAAAGCCGACTTTCACTGCTTTGAATGCACATCCACAGAATGTTGTCAACGTTCCAAAGTCGTTCATCTCTCACCCGCAACCATTGACCGTCGAGATCGATGGTCAAGATGTCCGTGTAGTTTATTATCCGCCAACGAATCCTGATTTCCAACCACCGGAAGGAGAGAAACCACCGCTTATTGTAAGCGTGCATGGAGGGCCTACGTCTTCAGCTCTACAGAGTCTCAACATGAAGACTCAGTTCTTCACCTCGAGAGGATGGGCTTGGTGCGCCGTGTTTCCTCTGCGACACCAATTATAGAACTCTGCTGATTTTTCCATTGTCTTCCTCAGGTTGGATGTTGATTATAGCGGGAGTACAGGTTACGGTCGTGATTACATGTGCGTTCACACCAGCTAATTCCCTGTCTTATCTAATTCTCCCTTTACCTTTGTAGACGACGACTCGATGGCCAATGGGGTGTAATAGACATCCGGGATTGTGCACAAGCTCCTCTTCATCTGCCGTCGTCGGCCCCAGTTGACATCAATCGTCTTTCCATCCGGGGTTCATCAGCCGGAGGATATACAACCCTTCAATCCTTGGTCACTTATCCTTCAACATTCAAAGCCGCAACATCGATGTATGGTATCTCTGATTTGAAGAGTTTAGACCAATTCACGCATAAATTCGAAAGTGGGTATTCAGCGAGATTGCTTGGATTAAAAGGCAAAGGGTATGAGAAGGAAGATGAAGAGGTTTATAAACAGAGAAGTCCGATTTGGAACGTCGAAAATATCCAAGCTGATATATTGGCGAGTGCTGCTTCATGTCTTTCTTCTGATGCTTGTTCTTATCAATTATTCTCTCGACCTTTAGGTCGAACAAGGTTCATTGGATCGAGTAGTTCCTCCCTCTCAAGCATCCGAAATCGTCAAGAAGATCAAAGAAAAGAATCCAAACTCCCGCGTTGACTATGTTGTCTTCGAAGGAGAGGGTCATGGTTGGAGGAAAAGTGAGAATATCAAGAAGGCTTTGGAGACGGAATTGAAGTTTTACGAAGAGGTTTTTGCAGTGCACAAAGGCGACAATTAAATATTGCGGTGATTGGAATGTTGAATGTTTCATTAGTTGTAATTGTATGTATACTTCTCATCGGACAATTATCCTTGTATCTGAGTCTTTTGTAAATATGGAAGCACACACTTCAAGTTGTGAGTTTGCTATGATTTCGAATAAAAGTCGGTCTGAAGGAGATATAGATTTACTCTCGTGACTGACATCAAAAGTCAAATTTAGATCATATCAGCCTCTCCGGACCCTTTGCTCTGAGTCTCTTTCCTTCAATCATAATCATGGACCGATTGACAACCATGCTCCCTCTCGATATCCTCATCTATCTCATGGCACATTTCGAAACTCGAAGTGCTCTATTTCAATATGCTATCACTTGTCGCTCATTATACAAAGCCTCACCACCTTATCTTCTCGCTCATTCCAATACAATCAGCAGCCTCTTTAGACTTTCCTCATTCTGCGAATTTGTTTTGACTGACTTCCCAAATAGATGTCGTATGTTGACCAATCTGCATTTGCTTCTCTGGGATTCAGATTATGACAAAGCTACCCTTGGGCAAAATACTGGTCTATTGGTCAAGGTACTCTCAAATGCCACAAATCTCGCCGAGCTTGTTGTTTTGTCACAATTCCATCTCAGACAATACCTAGAACTCGAGCCGGAAGTTCTAGGCGATTTATTTGCTACCTCTACAAAACTCAAAAACATCGAATTGCACTCCGCAGAAAAGACTGATACTTTCCGATGTCTTCGTACCACCACAGCTCCGCTTACCGACCTATACTTGTCGTTCGATACGTTGGAGCACGATGCATGGGTTAGATTTTCAACCGAATTGCTGGCACCTTTTTCAAATACGTTGACAACACTCACGATTCATCGGGCAATCATTGAACACTCGGATGTCATCCTTCCTAACGTTTATACATTGGCTCTGCAAAATCATGCACAGGAGGACTTTTCCCTGAAAGCTCTCCTTTCATCTTTCCCTTCAGTCCAAAATCTGGATGTTGATGCTAGGTTTATTGGTGTATGGCCTGAACAGTGGTCGCGGGCTTACGAGAGCAATAGATTTGTGGACAGCTCATCAGTTTGGGCTAATATGTCCTCGACTAGAGGGGACCTCAATTCTTTGTTTGTATTGGGTCTATCTTCCCCATCATTCCATGTTGAAGTACGAGATTTTAGCCCGTTAAGGCCAGATCATGAGAAATTATCGGCAATCTTGCACAATTTACGGCCCCGACATCTACTCCTCTCGTTCGTTCACACCACATATCACAGCAACCACCTCGTCGAGAAATTCAAGAAGCCACCCGTTCCCATTATAGCAGTTGTAAATGGAGAGATTATTGTGCTAGACTTCACCCTTACACTTGAAGGTGCGAATGATAGCCCTTTGATATTGGTATGTACTATCTTCGTCTTTTTCCATGATATAATCTTCACTCACAAGCTTGAATTGGACATGGATATACATAGCTAGACGTGTATACATGGGTCCGGATGGTCAAAGCTCCATACTTGATACTCAATATCACAATTGACGCGGGTACAGACAGAAGTCCTCCCTATAATGGGGAAACTCCTCCTCCTTCTCCTGTCGAGATACAATTACCTCAGGCAATTGATATTTATTCCGTCGCTCTTAAGATGGTGCAAGAGAATTCAAGTATCCAGTACCTATCGATTACGATGGGATTCCATGGAACGGACCAATATGTGTTCCTGGAAAATTTTTGGCGGGTATTGCCTAACTCTGTTTTAGAGGAGCTGCCGGTTGAGTTGGCTTTGAGGCTGGAGGATTCGAAGGAAGCTTTAGATGCCATCAACGAAATAAGAGATTTTCATGACACTGTATACATTGGATAGTAAGTGTTCAGTATTCATCCATGATCAGATTCCTTGTTGAATATAAAATCCGTCATTCATTCAGAGTGTCCCTGACTGAAGTAATTAGAGAGGACCCCATGTTGTATTACCTGTCTCAAGCTGGTCCGAGTCGTTGCTCTAATAGACGAACCGGCATAAAAACTTGGAACACATTGACCCTATCCTCTCACTTGACGATGTGTTTCGCATAGTGTTAAGGGACTCGAAGCTTCTAATATACTAGGATTGTTTTCTGTAACCAGAATTATGATTGCACACTGTTCAATTTTAGAATTATACAAAATATGTGATCCTTCTTTGATACTCAAACTCTGTCAAAATTCACCACGATGAGTACCTTTCACAACTGCAACATACTGACTTCATTGTGAACGCACTACTAGTAAAAGTGTAGGAAGCAATGCCGGAGTGATGCAAGAAAAGAAAACAACAAATAAATGCTCGGAGTGAGGGTCGAACTCACGACCTCAGGATTGCTCGTTGAAGATCAACGATCATAGCGAACTATGAGACCTGCGCTCTAACCAACTGAGCCATCCAAGCATGACTGGTATTCGAACGATATCAGCTATGAAGAGAAGTAAGTTGACCAGTTGGCATCCAGGACTCTCCCATCGTGCTCACCACTAATTTTCACGGTCTGTCTCTCTGTCTATTCCAACGATGGACGGGTTTTTCAGGGGCAACTTGATAATCTCTAGCCACTAGTCCCTCGACATAGGTTAACTAGTAAGAAGGATTGTTCCTGTACGGTTGGAAGTGTGGGAAAATGGCACGTTACTCATTCAGATGTGGACACGACATCCTTTAATTTTGGAAAGTTCAAGTTGTTTCTGGTCTTTACAGCGTGAAAACCCTCTCATGGTGCGACTCGGTGTCCCTATGCGCATTAATAGGTGAAATGTTGCTGACATATATATTTGTAGACGTTCAAGACCTGGAGCCATGTCCAGGACAAACTCAAAAAAATCGGCAATATGAACGTTTCTTCTGAGCTACGTGCTATCTCCTGCTTATTGTCATGAATTATTCAGCATCAAGCAAGTCTGTTTGCATCTTTTATTTTGGACGCCTCACCATTCGGTGGTCGTACGACAGTCTTCGGCTTGCTAATGTCTGCAGATGCTCTGCGAAAAGACGACGATTCATGCATAGCCGCGTGTGGATCCTACCCGCCGTGTCCTTCGCCGACAGTTCAGGATGAGTAATGTGATTGCTGACCTATTTCTCAAGAGTCCAAAGCTTTAAATACGGTAGAGTCATACTCGATTCCTGAATTCAAGCACAATGATGAATCCAATTCTCTACAAAGATACAACCGTCTCTAGAGGCTTCAACTATCACTACTATTATTCTCCCGCGAAAAACGCGAAGTCGACTATCGTATTCCATCACGGCTGTCCATCCGCAAGCAGGGATTGGAGGTTCGCCGCGACATACTTCCAAGAAAGGGGATATGGAGTACTCGTCCCAGACATGCTCGGATACGGCGGTACATCGAAGCCTGTCGATCCTGCCTTCTATGGAGGCAACGGTATTGCAAGAGATATTGTCGATATTCTCGACGCGGAGAAGCTCGACAAAGTTATCGCAATTGGCCACGACTGGTATGTCTTCCGCAGTATCTTGTCGATGCAACCTATTGATAATTTTCTCATCAGGGGAAGTCGAGTCGTTTCAAAACTCGCTAATTGGTTCCCGGAACGTGTTATTGCATACGCTGTCTTCGCTGTTCCGTACACTCCCCCGAATCCTGTCAATGACTACGAAGAATTTTTGAAGATCTCTAAAGAGAAGTACGGATATGAATTGTACGGTTATTGGGAATTTTTCGCCGCGGGTGATGCTGAGAAAGTCATATTAGATCATGTGAGCACCACACTGAGTTTTTTTATGCCATACTGACCATGTTCATGCAGTTGGAAGCATTTTCGGACATATTTCATCCATACAATCCTGACGCCGTGGCAACCGATCTGGCTCCTCTGGGTGCATTGAGGAAGACGCTGACCAGTGATTACTCTGCCCCTCGACCTGCGTACTGGACCGAAGAAGACAATATAATTTTCAAGGAGACCTACCGTAAGAACGGCTTCGAAGCTCCCTTGGCTTGGTATAGAGTCCAGACATCTGGAATCAGTGCAAAGGACGATGCCAGTAAGTGGTGATATCATCTACAATACATCATGTATCGGTTGATTAATAATGGCCATTTAGACGTCCTCAAATCAAATTACTACCCTCCTGCATCTAGTCCAATCTTCTTCGGTGCAGCTCGTTACGACAAGATATGTCTACCTTCAATTGGAATAGAGTTGCTTGAATCGGATGCGTTCAAGCATCACCAAGTCACCATCAAAGAGTACGACGGAGATCATTGGTTGATTTTGTCTCATGCGGACCAAATTAACCGTGACTTGGAGGCGTGGATTCTTGGGTTCTGATTTATTTGCGGTGTGACCCAAAGCCCATCCGATTCTCATGTTTGTAGACTCGCCTTCAAGCACGTGTTCATGTCATGTTGCATACCGCTTCGAAAATTTAGCCTTGATGAAGTAGAGGGTTAAAATTTCAATCCCATAAGTTACAGCGTTCCGTACGGTCCTTTGAATTACTCAAGGCTGTTAGTCGAAAAGTCGATCATATGAAAACAATAAATTCAATGCTGATATAGAACAAACAATAAAAACCAAGTAAACAGTATTAATCAATGTTTTTCATGGAGCGACAACCCGTAACATCTCACGTCATTTCCTACATTAATTTTTTGTACATTTAGATTGTCCATTTGGCACAGTCATTAGAAATTTTCTTTTGACTTGATTAGTGGAAGTCACCACGGTCTCGAGCAAGGCCATACCGATATACGACAAGTGATATCATTCACCACTCTATCATTCATAATGCAGACATACTAATAGTATGTATCAGTATGAAACACAACGCATTTGATGGACACTGATTATCCACTTACGCGTTTGTCACGGGCATCACGTGCATCTCTTGAGCAGGTGGATTGGAACTCCGAACAGATACTGGTACAAAGTTACAAACCATCCGCCGAAAGAGTCGGAACGGCAACTGGTTGTCCTCCAAACTTCAACACGCTGCCTAATACACCATCTACGTTTTGAAAGTCTCTCGTTAACAATAAAAATTCTTCGCACATTTGTGTATTTCGATCCTCTGCGAAAGTCGGACTAGATACAAATCACCAAACGGAAACGCTCTTCAAATCACGGCACTCCCAGAACGAAATATCATTCAAGTCGAAATGAATAAATACAATGGGTTTATGGACATCATTCGATATATTCGCGACCTGCTAGCACCATGCAATTATAACATGACGGAACGAAAATTCCTTGGCAGAACCATCGGATAGCACCTTAAGTGACCAAGCAAACTCGCCTGGAGACTGGATCAACGCACCTCAGTCGACTCGTGTTCTCACCGTACGACTTTATGACCGCAGGTAAATGTTTACGAGCGATTGAATAGTTGCTGACCGAGATATCTGCAAGTGTTTCTAGAAGTTCAATATCGTGGATCCATGTGCAAGACCAAAATCAAAATCCGGTGATATCAATACTTCTTCTGAACTACATGCTATCCCCTTCTTATTGTCATGAATTATTCAGCATCGAGCAAGTTTGGTCGCAATTTTGATCTCGAATGCCTCAAGCTCGCGTACATAGATGTGGTACGACGACCCTCGGCATGCTGATGTGTTGAATTTAGCAGATGTTCTGGTACACAGACAATGGAGTGTTACCTTTGTATGGATGGGGTCAACTCACCGTGTCTATCGCCAAAAAATTAGGATGAGTAATGTTATTGCTAAACATTATACTTCATATGCCTAGAGACCAAAGCTTTAAATACGGTGGCACAATACTCGAATTCTGTATTCAAGCACCATGGATCCAACTCTCTTCAAAGATACAACCGTCTCTAGAGGCTTCAATTATCACTACTACTATTCCCCTGCGAAAGACGCAAAGTCGACTATTGTATTCAATCACGGCTGCCCATCCGCAAGCAGAGATTGGAGGTTCGCCGCGACATACTTTCAACAAAGAGGGTATGGAGTACTCGTCCCAGACATGCTCGGATACGGCGGTACATCGAAGCCTGTCGATCCTACCTTCTATGGAGGCAATGGTATTGCAAGAGATATTGTCGATATTCTCGACGCTGAGAAGCTCGACAAAGTTATCGCAATTGGCCACGATTGGTATGTCGTCCGGGATACCTTGTTGGTGCTACCTATTAATTCTCATTTTTTTCAGGGGAAGTCGAGTGATTTCCAAACTCGCTAATTGGTTCCCCGAACGTGTTCTTGCATACGCCTTCTTCGCTCTCCCGTACACTCCCCCGAATCCCGTCAATGACTACGAAGAATTTTTGAAGATCTCTAAAGAGAAGTACGGATATGAATTGTATGGTTATTGGGAATTTTTCGCCGCGGGTGATGCTGAAAAAGTCATATTCGATCATGTGAGTACTATACTGACCTCTTGATATGCTATACTGAACAAGTTCATACAGTTGGAGGCATTCTCGGATATATTTCATCCGTGCGACCCAGATGTTTGGGTGACGAAATTGGCACCTCTGGGTGCGCTGAAGCAAACGTTGATCAGTGATTACTCCGCCCCTCGACCTGCATACTGGACTGAAGAAGACAACAAGTTCTTCAAAGAAACTTATCGCAAGAACGGCTTCGAAGCCCCCTTAGCTTGGTACAGAGTCCACACCTCCGGATTCAATGCAAAGGACGATGCCAGTAAGCCGTATTACTACCTGCGACACGCCAGCATTGGTTTAATAAAATTGATTCTTTAGAGGTCCCGAAATCCGATTATTACCCTCCTGCATCCAGTCCAATCTTCTTCGGTGCAGCTCGCTACGACAGAATCTGTTTACCTTCCATCGGAGTAGACTTGTTTGGGTCAGATGCATTCAAGGACCACAAAGTCACGGTCAAGGAGTACGATGGAGACCATTGGTTGATTTTGTCTCATGCAGACCAGATTAACCGTGACTTGGAGGCGTGGATTGTTGGGTTGTAGTTCACAACAAACGACTCAGAGCACTCACAGTGTTTGTAATATAATCGCCTGCAAGGATTCATCAACGTTGATACAATAGCTTCGATGTTTCAAATTGGTTCGCAAATTCAGTTTACTGAAAGTCCAAGTTTCAGCAATTCGGTCACATGGAAAGAATGTATTGAACATCGAAGTAACAGTAAAGCAAACAACTAAAATGAAATAAACACTATTGGTCAAAGTCCCATATTGAACGACATCTATATCTACAAATTGGCATTCTGATTCAGGCGACTGACATGGTAAAAGAGAGTCCATTAGCTCTACTACCGATGAGAAACAATGGCAAGGTACTGTATATGCATGTGTGATAAAGCTACATTATATCCAAATATTCATGTTATTTCCTACACAAACTTTTTCGTAAATCAGATTGTCCATTTTACATCGTCGTTTGACGATTTTTTGATTTGAGTCGACTAGTTTCCA